AAGCAACTCATCTGGGGGGGAATGGGGGTGTGTGGCTCCTGCCACTGCATACACCCCCAGAGGAAAAGGTGGGGAGGGGTGCATGCCTCCGGATCTGCACGGGGCAGGGCGGGCTGCTGCTGTGGGCTGGGGCCAGAGTTGCCCCGGCTGCACTGCACTTGGGGCAAGCGGCAGCACTGGGAAGGGGAGTTGGGGTGGCTTCAGCAAATTTTGGGGTGGCTGCAGCCCCCTCCCCCCTGGCTGGGCAGCCCCCTACCCCTGCTCTAGTGCCAGCCCCACTTCCTCTCTCACCGCAGGGGCTTTGATTTGCCCCCTCATGCCCCTTCCAACACAACAGACTTACCAGCTGCACGCAGCTTTCCAAGCTTTTGGGCTATGCTCCTCACTACCTACGTGCTGCACTGCAGCTGCGCACATGCACAAGGCATTTAATGGCCTCAATAATCGACCACATCAGATCATTTCCAAGACAGTCAATTTTCTTTATATCACTGCCAGTGCGATATCAGACCAATGTATTGGTACACCTCTAGCTAAAATTCCTTCCTGACCCCAAACATGTTGATCAGTGGAGGGGCAAACTCTCTAGACAGGAACCTCTGGCTTTAAGTCCCAGCAGAAGCAGTGGCACACCCTAGCCAAAATCCAGGGCCTTGGCTGCAGCCAACACCTAATGCCTCTGAGGAAATCTTAAAAATACCCTGACATGTAGCAGAAACTGGGGGAGGGGGCAACCCAGCAAAGCACAGAAGCATGGGAAATACCCACAGTAGAGCCCATATAATAATCATTAGCCAATTGCCTGTCAAGAATGATTTGGCGGGAGAGTGGGCAGGGACCTGTGCCCCCCTCCAGCCCCCCTTCCCTCTTGCTGCTTAGGGTCCGGGCCCGCTCCCCTGCTACCGGCCACAGCGGCAGGGGGAGGGGAGGAAGAGAGAAACGGGCCTGGGTCGACCTGGCAACAGTGGGAGGATGAGAGGAGCAGGCTTGGGGCAAATGTGTGGGTAGGGGAAGAGTGGGCCTGGGCCCAAGTGGGGGGTAGGAGGCCCGCTCCTTTGGGTCAGGCTGGGCCTGCTGCTCCCCACTCCCACCGTCACAGCAGGCTGGCTTCTTTCCCCGCATGGGCTCATTCCTCCGCAACCCCCTCTCATGTCAGGCCCGGACCCACTCCTCCCCTCCCCCCACTACTGCCATGGCACACGCACTCCTGCCCCCACTGTCGCCGTGTTGACCCTGCAGGTGGTGCTGATGGAAGGGGGAAGGGGTGAGGTGGCCCGAGGCCAGCGCTGGTGGCCTTGCCACACCCCCCCGTTCCCCCACAGCATCCCAACCCCACTCCCCCCTGCACAGCTGCCATCACCTCCAAGGAGCAAGGGGGGCCGAGGCCGGCTCTGGTGGCCTCGCCCCACCCCCTTCCCTCTATCATCCCCACCTGCAGGAACCAGGTGCGGGGGGGGGGGCGGGGGCAAGGCCAACACTGCTGGCCTCACCCCCATTTTGTCCGCTCCATTGCCATTGCGTCCAGGGAGCAGGGCAGGGGGGTTCGAGGCTAGCTGTGCTGGCCTCACCCCACCACTCAGTCCCCCATGTCCCCGCCATCATGGCCACTACCTCCTGTCCAAATGCTTATTTGCACTGTGATTGGCTGTTTCAGTCAGCCAATCAGAGCGCAAATAAAGCATTATGGACAGACAGATTAACACTTATAATATTAAACCGATAATGAAATAACAATAACTTGAGTTCTGCTAAGCAAGGTCCAACTGAATTCAGATAAAGCAAAGTTGCAACCAATGTCAATCCTCCCTAAAGAGATAGTTTGTAGGACCACAGTAAAGCATGTTTCAATTATATTTGCATTTCTTTCTGGCCTGATACTGCTACTTTTTTTCAGAAAACCTAAAAGTAAGAACTCCACCTGCTCTGGAGTTATTCTTTATTTGTAAAGGAGCATTACCTTGCGATATTTCACGAAGTAAGCATTGACAGGTAACCCACCATCTTTTCCAGAACGCCACACCAGGTTGTACATGTCTGGCTTGAGAGTCTGTGGAGGACTGAGGATAATTGGTGCTTCAGGGGGGGAAGCACCACCAAGACTTTTTTCTGTAATAACTTCATCAAGATGCAGGTTTGTTGGAGGCAAACTTGAAAACCCAGTTTCTGTATCATAATCTCTGCCACCTTCATCACTTTGGGCAGTCTCTGGAGTAGTGATTTCTTCAGCTTTTGTACTAGTTTCAAAAGGAACTGTAGAAGAAAGGTCCTAGTTATCTCTACAAAACAGCAACTATTTGCATCACAGGGTACGTTAAGGGCATTCTGTTAATGCAATTAAATGGCTTCAGATGTGAACAATTTCTATCAGAAATAACCATTATAGAGCCAAACAAAGCCCAATCGAGCTCATCTGAAAAAAGAATACTAACAATAAGGTTAATTTAGAGTCAGTCAGAGTAAGAAGCTATATTTCTAAAAAAACAAACATGCATATGCCCTTCCCATTCTGCAGCTCTCTCTGAAAAAAAGAAAGAGCTGAGTAAAGGAAAGCATTAGAGACAAATATAGTACTCTCAGGGAATTTGGGTTGACACAGCTTGTCAAAATTCCCAAAAGCAGTGGGTTGGCAGGTTGGGTACTGGGAATCCTGAAAGAAATGATGCAGCTTCTTGAGGTTACACACTGCAATTTAAGATTACCAGATGTTCTTAGTCTTGTTCATTCTTTCACAGATTTGTACAGATTTATGTTACTTGCCAGGGTCTGGAAGGGGGAAGGGAACGAAGGGAACTTGGTTTACAAAACAAACAAATTCCATGGTAATGTAAAGCCGAAGCAATGTTAGCTTGGCTGCCTGGGATTCCTTTAAACCTCCATTAAAATACCAGCAACAAGTGTGGCTGCTATTTTTGGCGACTTCTTGGAAGTGGAGGGGGAGGAAAGGTTTACTTTCAAATTGAAGACATGTTCCCCAAAAGCATTTGGATTTTTACTTAGGAATGCTACAAAGTTTTGAGACTGAAGCATGAAGCAACATAAGGAGAAAATCTTCAGAGCCAGACCTCAACTTGCTTAAGACAGCAGAAATATTATCTGATATTCTCATTATGAAACACCATCTAGCACAATACATAAAACAATGAGAAAGGTAATGCATACTACACTTTAGTATTAGACAGAAACACTATATTTGATTGAAGAATCTGACAGCATATTGTATTGTGATGGGTAATCAGGATTTCTTGGTAGGCACAATATGGTTTGATACCTGCTAGAACAAGGAAGAGGACTGTGATGCATGAGAAAATTATCTGCCATTTAACTGGTGTGGGTACACCCACAGTCATGACTACTTAGTCCTGAAGCTTCAGCTCATGGACAGACAGATACCACAGGATAGCAATTCTTATTAAGGCAATTCTGATCCATGAATTATTTCTGGCTTTATACCACATATCACAACACTTAATTTTTCTATTAATTTGTCAAGCACCTGTATCTCACATTTCAGTATGCACGGTAGGGTTCTTTCATTACCTCTTTCACTCTCTTAATCAGATTAACTTTCTCCTCAGCTTTCTAATCACTGCATCTCTATTTTATTCCCTTATCCTATTTTATCGCTAGCATTTAAAGGAAATTAACAAGCAACACTAACCACGGTCAGTACTGGATAGCACAAAGGAGGAGAGGGTGTACACTAGTTAAGACTGGTAACATTTCAAAAGTACTGAAAATGACTTAACTAGATTAATGCCAGGCCTACAATTCAGAGCCTTAACATCATGTCAGCAAGGAGCATGGGTGTAGGGAAAGGGAGAATACACTCCTTAGCTGACATAGTCAAACCCCTGGAGCGAGCAGAGCTATGCCAACAGAAAAACCTAATGCCTTGGATTGAGGGCCCTAGGTCACTTGGTATACATTTGAAATACATTTGATATACCCGCCCAAATAATAGCTTTCTTAAATTCTTTATTTGTAAGCATCTTCTGGCCTTGAGTCAATAGTTTTTAGAATCCTTATGATTCAAGAGGCAGCAAGGTCCCACAGCCAGAATCAAAACCAATCCCAAAATCTCCATCCAAACACTAAGCAGAAACCAGGGCAACAAAATTCAAACCAATAAAGAGCAATATATAAAACATTTAATTTTTTGAACTCACTGCCATAAGATTTTTAAGGCAAAGTCTCAGGATTTTTACCACCCCCCCCCGGTTGAGTTCTGGAATAAGTTTTAAAAATTTAATTTCATGTTCAAAATCCTTTAGTGAATTTAAAAAAATATATATATGGCCCTTAGATACTTAGAAGCCTAAATCCCACTGACTTTCAGTTGCATTTGTTATCTAAGGACAAGTCTTTAGAAACAAATATGGAAGCAAAAGCAGATTAGTGTAACTTAAAACTGAGCCCTTGTTCTGGTTGTTACAACTTTGTTCCTGTTTTTGGAAGCTTGCGTATGTCATATTATTAAAACACATATGATTACAATAAAAGAGCAAGATCTCTCCTTACACTGTGCCTTCAGTGCAGGAACAATATTTTCACAATAGCAATTTTGGGAATAAGGAACCCAGGGTCTCTCTCTCACTAGATTATGCTTTTTATGTATTTTAATTTCTTGCCTCTTCAGCAGGTAGGGGAAGGGGAACATGCCACTGAAGAACAAAGAGTCGCTCTGTTAAACTTCTCTCAGGTAACAACACTATTTCTGCTGTAAACCAAGTGGCTTCAGAAGTGTTCCTAAAACCCTGGATCTCTGATAGAAAGCTGGGTTGCTACCACGCTTTATATTAACAGCGGATTCTAATTAAAATTTTTTGCAAGACTGTAGAAATTCTGAAGTGAAAGTTGTGTTTGTGAAAGATTCTGTATTACTCTTCCTGTAGCTAGAGGAATAGGCTTCTCTATACCAATCTCTCTTCTTAAATATGTGCCCTTCTACTGACAGAGGCACCATACAGGAGGTGGGGCACTGGTGTAAGCCATGGAGCACCTAAACTAGTTAACTCTGCAGACTAGTTAGCTTGGGTACTGGCACCAGTCTTGCCAGCAGCACAGAGCTCAAGGGACACTCATTTAAAATTAAAATTACATTTATACCAATTAAGGCACCTTTACACTGGATGCACCAACACATGTGCTTTACTGTTGATTAATTAGCTCAGCTGTGAAATGTCACCGTCTACAGATGTGGTGCTATTAGGCTACAGTAAAGTAACTCCACTGGAGAACTGCCCAACACATGTACTATCCTACGATGCAGTTATTGTGGTGCAACGCACATGTAGACAATGACCGGGGCTGGCTGGGACATGAGGGTCCTACAGTGCAAGGGCTGCCTGTCAACTAGCCCTGCACCGTAGCACCCTCACCTCCAGCCAGCCCCTCTGCAGCATGCTGAGCTAGGGTGGAGCAGTTCTGCGCTGGCAGGCTGACCCCACAGACCCTCTGCCAACCAGGGTTGCACTGCCCTGGCTGATGCATGCTGCAGTCCCAGGCGCACATGTAAAGGCTATGTCTGGGAGCAATAAACTCCAGCACAAACTGCACCAAAGTTTATTCAGGCACATTAATAGCACATATGTGCCTACTGTATCATGTTGCAGCATAGACCTATCCTAATTAGTCTTTCCTGTGATATGACCAACACCTCAAATGTGGATAGCTGTTCACTGAGAACCAAGCCAAGGCATTTCATACGTACCTTGAAACAGCAACCTAATTATCCCAAGCTGAATTTTAATAAATTGACCACTTTGCTAGTAAAGACAAACATTTCACTACAAACCACTTGGCAGACTATTGAAAATGTTAAGAAGAGTGATGGCAATATTGAAGCCAGCTTACCAACTGTAAGGAATGCATCCGACAGTGCTGAGCCATGTTCATTTGTTGCTTCACAAGAGTATTTCCCAGCATGCTCTGGAGTAACAGCCTGAATATACAGGGAGCTTGAGCCTCCTCGAGACATAGCAAAGTAGCTTGGTTCTGACACGGTGCTACCTATTCTTGCTTGTGAAGATTTTCGTGATTTTGAATGAAGGACCTGAGAAGGGTGGCTGGTAATAAGTCCACGGCTGTTGTACCAACGAATTACTGGAACAGGCAGCCCAGTGGCATTACATGACAACGTAATACCACCACCATCTACTGCACTGGTACTTGCTGGTGGAGAAACTATAACTGGCATTGAACCTTTGCCTATTAAAAATATAAACAATTAATTGTACTATAGAATGTATTGCCTAGAACATGGATGAGTTAGTATGTTAAAAAAGTGGCCACTTATACAATTACTTGGTAGTTTGGATACTATTCACACTATTAAGGAACAAGGGCTTGAAAGACTTTAGCAGTTTATTGAAACCTTTGCTCAGAAGAGGCAGATACAATTCTATAAGCAATCTTAACACTGAATATGTAGAACACTGACCCCAAACTTGAAAAACATGAAATCATGCAGCATTGATCATTTCAGATACTGGGGACAATGGTAACAGATTCATTCTTAGAACAAATTTAGTTATAAGCCAGATTTAACCCCAACATTTGAAGTCAGAGAATCGATGTAATGGAACTATTATCAGGTATATTTGGTCTCCAAATGCTCATTAAAACATAGCTAAAGCTGTCAGAGAAACAAGTGTATAGAAAACAAGATTTTTTTGTCTTAAATCCTGAATTCAACTGAACAAAGGTAATATCTCCCAATCTCCCATTAACTTTCTACCAATGCAGAAAACTTACTTAATTTGCTGCTTACTGTGGTCAAAGGAACAGCATTTTATACCTAAATAAAATAATTTAGCAACAAAACTTAAACATGACTGAAAACTTAGTTTAAGATTCTGAATACTATAAACTGTTCCTACCTGTCTGGACAGTAAGTCTCCCAGTGGAATGCATAAATCCAATCCCATTGTTTGCAACACACTGATACAAGCCAGAATCCTCCTTGGTAATGCCACTGATTTGCAAACTGTTTCCTGTGGATAGGTGATGTGCAGAGAGATGGACGGGAACTGCATTATGGAACCAGGTGAGATTTGGAACAGGATTTCCATGAATGTCGCATGAAAGGTATGCAGTTACACCTAGAGACACTGTCTGGTCCTGCAATCCTTTAGAAATTGAGGCAGATTCTAAAAGAAACAAAGTGAGTATGAAATCCTACAAAGTATTCTTTTGCAAAAGATGCAGCCCATACACTTCACTGTAATATAACAACTTACACAAAGTTACCATATATATGAAAGCCAAACTTAGTCTTTTCTAGTTCAGTACAAGATGAACTTGCTTCTGTAACATTTTTAGCACTTATTTTAATGGCATTTTCCTTCCATTCAGAATTATCACTCATTAAAATTACAAGAATCTTTTTTCATTTTAAAACTAAAAATAGTTCTAAGGAAGAACTGTCTTGACAAAAGTTATTTATTTTATAACTTTTGCAGTTATATCCTGAATCTCTGGTTTACGAAACAAAGATTTTGTTTCTTCTTTTGTTTTGGCTCACTGGTCAGCAAGTTTTTCAGAATATGCACATCTTTAAATTCTATCATGTTTACCTCTTAGTGATTCTCTATCTCCCTGTGATTTCAATGGGCAAGGCATGGAGCAATAAAGGAGCAGATGAAACTCCCATAACAGGATATGTATAAAGAAACAGAATCATTAATGTTATTCTTAACATTAATTTACAACTGATGAACAGCTTGAAATACTGTAACTGGAAGGGTCTGATTAATGAAGACCATGTAGAAAAGTCCAGGTCTTTTGCCAGAATTATAATTTCACTTGAAAAGTAAAGAAAGAAAAGTGTGCTATATACTGAGTGTACTTTCCTAGCTGAGTGTAAAGACTACTTTGGCTGCCTTGCATCTCAGGCAAGAGTAGGAATTCAGGAATGGATTTGGAATGAAAAATGATGAAAAGACAATTCTTTCTATGATACCAGGATATGTCCAGGCTCATTAACTTTTACTGACATTAATCAATGCCTGCAAAAAATCTGCTACAAAAGGAAAGAGGAATAAGGATAAATTGCAATGGCTTAAAGTGGCCAGCTGTATACTGAAGGGGGAAAAGTTTAGTACCATCCATTCCAACTAACATTTTAGTCACTGTAAACCTTAGTAACCTTACAATTACCTTAGTAACCTTTGTTACCATCACAGACGGAAGGAAGACGACATCATTTATATTGTACCAGAGGTGTACACAGTGCTTTGTAGACCAAAAAAACCCCCAATGACCAGCTTTTCCTGGCATGTGTTGCAAGGCTGCCTTCCACCCTTGAGATGGG